TCAAATACTTTGGTTACATCGCAGTTTGAAAAATTCTAATTTGTTTGCTGCTAATAAGTACGTTTGTGGCGTGCACTTCATATCTGAGAGTCAAATAGAACTGTCAAATACTGCTATGTAGAGTTGAGCGGACACCTGGATGTTCGGGTCCTCAGGTTCGGTCGAACTTTGAAAAAAAGTCCAGGTTCGGGCTCGAACTTGACCCCAAACCCGAACCCCATTGAAGTCAATGGGGACCCCAACCTTTGGCCACAAAAATGCCTCTAAAAACTCCTGGAGAGTGCTAAAGAGCTGTAAAATGAAGTAAAATGGGGGTAAGAGTACGACAAGTGCCCTGCAAACAAATGTGGATAGGGAAATCACTTAAAATAATATAAAATTAAAAATACAGCTGAGTCATAAAATAGCACTAGATGGAATCTTTGATTTTAGCTTTGGAAGAACATAAATCTAAAGCATGGCTGTCAGGAGGATCACTAGAATCATCCATTTGAAACAGGGTTGGAGTGCAGGGTATTCTCTTTCATTGTTCAAACTGAGCTCAACTCCTGATGCATGCAGAAAAGGCCTTCACAAGCCTCTGCTATTGTGTACATAGTGTACAGTTGTACATTATGTACAGTTTATACTAATTGACCCATAGGTTGAGGAGGCGGTGACCGTGGCGGTGTAGGTGGAAGCAGTGGTGGAGGAGGAGATTGAGGTAGCCAATACGTGTTTTTTGTTGTTGTTTTTTTTTTATTGGGGTAGCCCCCAAAATATTGGGACATAAAACAAAAGAAACATTTGCGGCCTTTGGTGCATTTCTTGCAGTCCTGATGCATGGAGAGATGCTCAACTCCTGATGCATGGAGAAAAGGCCTTCACAAGCCTCTGCTATTGTGTACATAGTTTATACTAAGTGACTGACCCATAGGTTGAGGAGGCGGTGACCGTGGTGGTGTAGGTGGAAGCAGTGGTGGAGGAGGAGGTAGCCAACACTGTTTATATATATATATATATTTTATTTTGATTGGGGTAGCCTCCAAAATATTGGATGCATGGAGAAAAGGCCTTCACAAGCCTCTGCTATTGTGTACATAGTTTATACTAAGTGACTGACCCATAGGTTAAGGAGGTGGTGACATATTGGTGTACTGTTTAACCTCTTGTGTATTAGAGGTACTTTATCTATATATAGCAGACCCTGTTTTGCAGGAGGAGTTTAGAGGATACTAATACCCCACCCTCCTATCTTAAATTCAGTGACATTGTTTATAGAAAGTGGCTTAACTTTTTACTATTAAAGTATCTCTTTGTATTTACACCTCTCTTGCTAGCAAGTGTCAGGATTACCTATAGTCTCTATATTTCTACTGACCATTATATCTAACCTAGCTTGCAACTGTCTCCTATACCTTTTTATTTTACAGGTATTCCGTGCCTCTTTTCTATTAACCATTGCAACCAAGTGTTGTGCTGTTTAACCCCTTGTGCACTATATTCAACCCAGGGCCAGATTAAGAGCCCAGTGGGCCTGGTGCTGACAATTATGACGGGCCTAATTACAGAATCATATCAACCAAAAACAGTAAAACACTCCCAAGCGTCATGTATCTGATGGAGATGGTGCTGGAGAGAAAGAAAACAGCAGCTATAAGAAAACACATACCCTAGGCTAATCTCTCACTAATTTATGTTTTCATCTTTCAAGTAAATCCATAACCCCTAACAGCAGTGTCCAGTCAAGCAAGAAGTCAATGGGCACGGTAAAAGGGTGTGCCACTGACACAAATCACGTAACCTGCCAAAAGGGACGAACATGCCCAAAAAGAGGATATGTCTGCCCAAAGAATTAGAAGGCCAGTCTGGTATGAATGCATGTCAGGCTGCCTGCCAATCATGCAGTTGGCCAACTAAGGGCATACTATGCAGACAGCACCCTGAGCTTGGCATAAATGCATCTAATGATGCGCTCGCTCAACGCTTTCTAAGGACTGTCCCCTAGCACTAGCTGGTCCACTTGTCTCCTTACCTTCTTACTAGCAGGCAGAAGCTCCTGGTATATAGTCTAAAGCTGTATGTAGTGAGTGTAGGAAAGGGAACATGCCACAGTGTTAGAGAAACCAAAGTCAGCATTACCTTAGGATCACTATAGGGTCAGGAACACAAACATGAATTCATGACCCTATAGTGTTAACACCACCATCTAGCCCCCCTGGGTCCCTCATGCCTCCATAAATATAGCAAAATCTTACTGCATTCAAGCCTGAAGCTGTAACTCTGCATGCTGTTAGACTCAGAAAAACAAGCAGTCTGTTGACATCATTAGAAGTGGTGGCCTAATCCAATCACAGTGCTTCCCCATAGGATTGGCTGAGACTGACAAAGAGGCAGATCAGGGGCAGAGCCAGCATGATTCAAACACAGCCCTGGCCAATCAGCATCTCCTCATAGAGATTAATTGAATCAATGAATCTCTATGAGGAAAGTTCAGTGTCTGCATGCACTGCACTGAATGTTTGGATGCATTTTAGGCAGCTATGACCCAGGAAGGATGTTTAACAGTCATCTAAGGAGTGGCCAGTGAAATTATCACTAGGCTGTAATGTAAAGACTGCATTTTCTCTGAAAAGACAGTGTTTACAGCAAAAAGCCTGACGGTTATGATTCTACTCACCAGAACAAATTCAATAAGCTGTAGTTGTTCTAGTGACTCTAGTGTCCCTTTAACTATATTCATTGTCAGCCAGTCCACACAAGTTTTGTTCCCATACATCCCTCTTAAGTTTCCATTCTTAAGTAAGAGTATGTGAAAAGTAGTTAGGGTTTCCACCTTTCTTGGAAAAACATACCTGCCTTACTAATTTGCATAATTAAATATGTATGGGTGACATCGCATGAGTGACATAAGAGAAAATGCTGTAAAATCACCAAAAAACTACTTAGTTTGATTCTGCTGTATAGATGGATTCCTCCCAGTGGCCCCATGTCTCCCAGTGCCCCCATGTGTCGATTACTCCAGGTCTCAGTGTTCCTATGTATCAGTGTCTCAGTGCCCCATGACTCCCAGTGTCTGGGAAAATAGGGGACACGTGAAGACATGGGGACACAGACACCATGGACACAGACACTAGAGACACTTACTGGGGGACATGGGGACATTGAGACATGGGGGCACTGGGAGACATGGGGACAAGGAGACACCAGGGACACTGGCTGGGAGACATGGGGACACTGGGAGACATGGGGACACTGTGTCCCCATGTGTCTGTGTCATAATGTCTCCCAATGTCCCTTAGTGTCTCAGTGTCCCCATGTCTCCTTGCAGCCTTTCCCCCCATCCCTTACTTCCTTGAGCTGTAGGCTGTCTCTGCAGGGTGGGAGTTGCTGTCTGGACTCTCTGTAGCTTCACCCCTGCAGATCAGTGAGTATAGATAGGCAGGGAGGGATATGCTGGACCTTACTATCCCTGCCTGTCTCCACACACAGTGACCCCTACTGGCCAGTGCTGGTATTGCATAGTAATCTCTTGTTTAAACTGAGAAAAATACCAGCATTTGTATTGCCAGTATCACTGCAATATTGGCACTAGTCAGGCAGCCTCAAATACTGGCTGTGCCAATAAAATAAAAGCCAGGTGGAATCCCTAAGAGTAGTGTGTGAGAAAAAAAAATGTAAAAAATAAAAATAAAAAAATATATATTTTTATTTTTATTTTTTAGAAATCAATGGGCCTATTCCATAGGCCTGGAGCTGCAGCTCCATCAGCCCCTATGTTAATCCGGCCCTGATTCAACCGATCCTGTTCTGCAGGAGGAGTTTAGAAGATACTAGTATCCCACTTTCCTATTTAGAATTCAGTTACATTGTTCATAGCTAGTGATGTCCCGAACGGTTCGCCAGCGAATAGTTCCTGACGAACATAGCGTGTTCGCGTTCGCCACGGATGGCGAACATATGCGTGCGATGTTCGGTCCGCCCCCTATTAATTTACTAATACTAAGTAAAAATTACTTAGTATTAGTAAATTGTGCCCCTACTCGCAATACCGCGAGTAGGGGCATGTCTATTAAACAGTGAGCAGCCTGTGGACCTAAATACTAATAGGGGGGGACCTACTGTCCTCCCCCGGCCCCCACCCCTGAGCGGTGGGTGGGGGCCCTAAAATTAACAATAAGGGGGGGACCTATTGTCCCCCCCGGCCCCCACCCCTGAGCGGTGGGTGAGGGCCCTAAAATTAACATTAAGGGGGGGACCTATTGTCCCCCCTGGCCCCCACCCCTGAGTGGTGGGTGGGGGCCCTAAATACAAAGGGGGACCCTAGTCACCCCTCCCCCTCCCCCCCCAAAAAATGAGCTCCCTACCTACCCCCCTCACCCTAAAAATAATGAGGGGGGACCTTTAACTTAAAACCTGTAAAAAAAAATTAGATAAAAATAACTTACCATTTGATGTTTTCTTTCTTCTACAATCTTCTTTTTTCAGCCCCAAAAAAGGCCAAATAAAAAACCATAAGAACCGACGCAATTAAAAAAAAACAAAAATAAAAACGAGCGCACAAAAAAAAATAATCCATCTTCACCCATGGAGGGCTCCGCGCAGACTGAGCTCTGCAGGGCAGGGGAAGGCTTATAAAGCCTTGCCACGCCCTGCAATTAGGCTAAGAACACTCAGATTGGCTGGTTTAAGCCAATCAGAGTGCTCGTTGTCATTTAACACAGCGTGGGAAAATTCAAAAGAACTTTCCCACGCTGTGTAAAATGACACAGAGCACTGTGATTGGATGGCTTGAAATCCATCCAATCAGGATGGCTTGAAATCCATCCAATCACAGTGCTCTGTGTCATTTTACACATCGTGGGAAAATTGAACTTTCCCACGCTGTGTAAAATGACACAGAGCACTGTGATTGGATGGATTTCAAGCCTATTGGTTCTATTGGAGGTTTAATACCCCAACTAGTTTATAGGACATATTATTTTGTAGCCTTGTGCTTTTTGTTTTGCTTTTATCTTTTCTATTTTGCATTTTAATATATCCATTAAAAGTTATTTTTTATGCTCATTTCATTGTGACACTTTATGGTAGTTTTTTTTCTTTTTTTTCTGTATTCATATAATTTCACCATTTAGGGGTTACCCCCATTTTTTTTCTACCCATATTCGTGACTCATATTTATATCTAGGCTCTCCTTTTTTCTTTTTTAGTTATTTACTTTTTCAATGTGCTTCCCAACGAGAAGGAGACAATGCATTCGTATGTCAATCCATATCAACTTTCGATACCATTGACTGTGCCTACCATGGTGACCACAGGTAAGGGGGAATCAGGGTTTGATTCTGTACAGGGACCCTGACAAATGGCTACCACATGCAATGAAGGCAGCAGGCGCGCAAATGACCCACTCCCGACGCAGGAAGGTAGTGATGACAAATAACAATACAGGACTCTTTAGAGGCCCTGTAATTGTAATGAGTCCACTTGAAATCCTTTAACTCTGATCAATTGGAGTGAAGTCTGGTGCAGAGCCACTGACCTGTGCGTGCTGCAGCTGACACTCCACTATCGCCTGCTGCTGCTCAAACAGTACCTCCAGCATGTGCAAGGTAGAGTTCCACCTTGTGGGCACGTCGCAAATGTGGCAGTGAGCGGAAAGGCCAAAGTTAAGCTGCAGCGCAGACAGGCGAGCAGCAGCAGGGTTAGAACGCCGAAAGCGCGCACAGCCGCTACAGTGAATGTCACATCCTGTTCCAGTTGCGGATCAGTCTGGTGATGGCTTTTGGTATCCATTACTTTTTTTACTGAAGCTGCATCAGGGTCCTGGTACAGGGATACCCTATTTAGCGCTACCCCGCATAGCGCTGATTCGCTATAGCGCTGTCAACAAGCGTTTGACTCGTGTGCCCTTAGAAGCCATCAAAGCCATGACTACTAATGCCATGGCTGTGATTAGCCAGTGCAGCATGTGACCCAGCCTCTATATATAATCTGGAGTCGCGTAGCGCTGCACGCACATGCGGTCTTATTAGTGTAGGGAGAGGATGCTGCCACTGATAGGGACAGCTTAGGAAAGAATTCTGCAAACTAGTACATTGGTGGGGTGGGGTGCACTTGATATCTGAGAGTCAAATAGAAGCTTCAAATACTGCTGTCACATTGCAGTTTTAAAACTTTAAATTTTTGGGGTCCTAAACGGCTAAATAGTATTTTAGTGGGGTGCACTTCATATCTGAGAGTCAAATCAAAGCGTCTAATAATGCACTTACAGTGCAGTGGTAAACATCTTATTTTCTGCGTGTTCATCTGCTAAATAGTACATTTTGGGGCGTGCACATCATATCTGAGAGTCAAATCGAAGCGTCTAATAGTGCGGTTACAGTACAATTGTAAACATTCAAATTGTTTTGGTGCTGAACTGCTAAATAGTACATTTTGGGACCTGCGGTGCACTTCATATCAGAGTCAAATAGTGCGCTTACTGCGCATTGGTAATCATTTTTATTGTTTTGCTGCTAATCTGCTAAATAGTACATTTTGTGGCCTGCTCTTCATAACTTAGAGTCAAATAGAAGAGTCTAATAGTGCGCTTACAGCGCAGTTGTACAAATTCTTATTTTCTGGGTGCTAAACTGCTAAATAGTAAATTTTGGGGCCTGCTCTTCATATCTAAGAGTCAAATAAAAGTGTTTAATAGTGCGCTTACAGCGTAATTGTAAACATTCTAATTGTTTTGGTGCTAAACTGCTAAATAGTAAATTTTGGGGCCTGTGGTGCACTTCATATATGAGAGTCAAATAGAAGTGTCAAATAGTGTGCTTACTGCGCAGTGGTAAACATTCTTATTTTCTCTGTGCTAATCTGCTAAATAGTGCATTTCGGGGCCTGTTCATATCTGAGAGGCAAATCGAAGCATCTAATAGTGCGGTTACAGCGCAATTGTAAACATTCCAATAGTTTTGGTGCTCAACTGCTAAATAGTAAATTTTAGGGCCTGTTCTTCATATCTGAGAGTCAAATAGAAGCGTCAAATAGTGCGCTTACTGCACAGTGGTAAACATTCTTTTTTTTTGCTGCTAATTTGCTGCTTACATTGGAGTTTTAAAAAGTCAATTTGTTTTTTTGCATAGTTACAGAATTAATTCAAGGTTTCTGCAAATTTCTGCGAATATATCGAAAATTTGGGGGCTGCTTTTAGAGCCGAAGGTCAGCCTAGTCGCAAAATAGTATTTCTCTTCCCACTTACAGCCATGCAGATGCTAGAGTGACTGCTTAATTGGTAGAAGTTTGAAAGCATTTGTGATATCTGTTTTGCTTAACCAGGCTGCCTTACCAATGTTGGCAACAGCTTGTATGGCATTGTCTATTTTAGCATATTGTAGTGAGAAATCTTCTGAAGGTATAAGGAAATTTAAACTTGGGGAGGTGGAAGAGTGAGGTGTTGAGAAATCGATTATTAATAAAAAAAATTGTTATTCAATTTGCCCGTGGCTATACCTAGTGGGCTTGTTCTCCAAGAAGTGAATGGTGGTGTGGTGAATGGTCCTATCAAAAAACCGTACTCTACTTCTTTGTTGAGAAGTTCTTTTTGATTGGCTGGATCTGTTATCGCAGACTGTAGGTTGGGGCATTCCAGTATGCCTGGAGGGAGTGTAACTAAACCTGTGTGAAAGCCTCTAGTGAAACCAGAGATAAGAAAGTCAACCAGCTGTGAAGAAAAATGTTCAGTCAAGTAACAGTGTAAACTGGGTACATTTATTGGGGTAGTTGATTTCTTAGGGAACAGTTTGTTTGGACACAGTTTTTGCGTGTGCTCTAAAACAGATTGAGCAAACGTGGAGCAGTCTACACGCGCTATAACTACACCCTCAATCAAGATAGTCTGGATTGGCGTTACTAGTAGACGGACCATCTATATTACTCGGACAAAAATTTTCTGGATGAGAAGCTGAAGAACATATTGCACACGCTGGTGTTTTAAGCCCCGCAAAATGTCTACAAAACAATTCTGTGTCCAACTGACTCCAGTCAGTAGGATTGTTATACTGAGCCAGTGACGCGGCTGATCTGGCTGAAAAGGACTTATGGTAGTCGTAGAATGCGTAACCGCCATATTTGTAAGCTAGTTCCACCAGCTTGTGCAGATATAGATCCAGCTCTTCTCTACGGTGTGGGAAGGAAGAGCAAATTATAACCCTATATAACCCAAAAGCTAACACGAATTCAGGAATATTCAGCTTCTTATTAAGACTAGGATCTCTAGATTTCATTACCACGGATCTATCGTCGAAAGTGTAAGACCTGTTTTCGATTTTATCCTGTGAGGCAATGAGGAGGTAAGCTAGATTAACATCCATCCCTTTTAGTATGTCACGTTTTAGATTTTGTGGAATCAAATGTACTGGGTTTGGCAGGAATAGGAGTGAAGTTACCTCCTGAGCTTGTCCTAGTTGTTCTAGTGGAATTTGTACTTCCGGGATGCTAATTTGACTATTGGCTTCCAGGTTATCTAACCTGTTGTTTATTATAGCTACAGAAGCTACCAGAGAGGTCATCATACTCTGTAGTTCTGCCAAACTGTTTTGTATTGTACATTCAGAACTAGGGCCCGGAGTTTCATCAACGTTTTGGGTGTTTAGTAAACAGAAAAGTTCTGCTTTCCTGGCTGTAACAGGAAAGGGAATGTTTCTTCTATTCAGTTCAGCTGTGATTTTTGGAACAGTCCAGGATCTGTAGCTGGATGTCGTACTGGACTGTCTTGGCTGAGCGCTAGAACTGGACGGGGTGCTGGCAAGCGATAGTTCATCATCTCGTACTGAAGCATTAGACATTTTGCGGGGCTTAAAACACCAGAGTGTGCAATATGTTCTTCTATGGGCGTGAGAGGAAACGTTCAGGTTAGGAAAAACAATTTTTCTTTGTGTGTGTGTGCTGGCTGACTAGCTAGTGCCACTCCTCAGCGAAGCAATAACACTTGTTTGGTGGCTGGTGAGGCCCTACTAGGTGCCAAGTGGCTTTGAGAGGCTCTAGCTATATCTTGGTGCGAGGGGATTTCGTGGCCACCAAACGTAGTGGCGGGGTGTCGGCCTCTCGGTGACCAGAAAAGCATAATATGAAATGGGGGTGACAGGTAAGGCCCTCTCTATGCCACATGCGGGGAGGCTAACTATGATTTAGCCTGAGGGGCGTAGTACCTCCGAAATGAGGATGGGTGTTGGCCTCGCAGGACCACTAACCTAAGGCGAATAAGCCAGGGGGGGAATTACCACTATTGGACTCCTAAGACCCTGACAGCCAGCCACATCTAGACTAGGTGGAACAATAAAAGTTCGAGACTGAACGTATAGAATAATATGCTTGTTACCCTTACCTGTACTTGTACTTGTAGATGTATGCAAGTACTTGAGTCGTTCTTAGTAGCTATTTAAGTGTTCTTCAGCTTTAACCTGATGCCCAAATTTAGCGGAAAAGTGGAGAGAAAAATAGGTAGAAGTTTTTTAGCCCATTATTCTGGCAGGTAAAATAGGCTTAAATTATTTATGACTACCCATTTCTGACAAGGATTTATACTTTTGACTAAATTGTACATATTAAGGTGACAGAGTGATTTGGAATTTGATTTATACTTATTATTTTTTATCCTACTGTTGGATTAAAGGAATAGTTTCTACTAGATTTAGGAAATTAGTGGAAAGGAGTGAATAAATAAATTTACTAACCGAACCATAAATATGTAATACAGCGTAATTGATGTTGAGATATTCTGAAAAATTTTATCCCTAGAAATGAAAAGGAGAGCAACTTCATAAGGTAAAATAAATACAATTTTTTACATCTTAGTATAAATAAAGAAGGGAGAGGGAAGAAGAGGAGAAAAAAAAATACATTTATTGAGTTTACAAGTAACATTACCAGATTTAGCCCATATAAGATTTCTATGAGACTATTGGTACAAAATGCTTAACCAATGCTGCTATTATTATGTATTTTTTTATTTTTCTTTAGTTTATACGAATGCCTACCTGACCTGACAGTAAATTAGTTCCTTGATTCAATTTCCGGAATCGACGAGGACAGGTAAGGAAGGGGTTTACTGGGGTTATATAGGCCTTAAATCCCTCCCACAACTTCAGGCATAGGCCTTATGAACAAAGCCAAGAGGGCTGCACTTACCTAAACATGCATACATTATATTGTGCTGCTGGGGCCAAAATACACAAAATACAGAATCCAGCGCACTCGCTTATTCACTAAATAATGATTTCAAATCTTAGAAATTGTAATAGTTTTATTTAAAAACACCTTACCTAGGCAAAAATAATGGGGGTTTAGTTACATTATATGATCATATATTGCATAAGCCTGCCACACCGTCAATGTATCCCATTGTTGGCAGGTCCTATCCTAGCAGCCTAATGCTTGCTCTTATGAGATTAATCCACTTTGGAAATACGTCCTTGCTGGGACTCTCTGCAAGTCAAGGCTAAATATTTCCAAAGTAAGTGGATTAATCTCATAAGAGCTGCATTTTAAGGACTTTTTTATTTTTTACCTATATCTACAGAGATTTCATAACAAATGTTTAGGTCTTTAACAAAATAATGTGTAATAAACAAATGTCTAAAACCTTTGCACAGTATTGTTCAGAGATTCAACATTTCTCATTTTTAAAGGGATCCTATAGTGCCAGGAAAACAAACCTGTTTTCCTTGCACTATAGGCTCCTGGAGTGCCCTTCTCCCTCGGGTTAACCCCTTCAACCACTTACCTGAATCCAGCACCGATGTCCCTCAGTACTGGGTCAGGCTCCGCCCACACTCTTCCCCCGCAGATGTCAGCCGGCGGGGGAGACCTAAAGTTAAACGCTGCAACGGCCACGCATGCATTAGACCTCCCCATAGGAAAGCATTATTCAATGCTTTCCTATGGGGAAAATCTGACCCTGGGGAAAATCAGGACACCGTGTCCTGAGGAAAGTTCGCAGTTGTGAACTGAAACGTTGAACACTTGGATTACATGCCTATTTTTTCACATTGAAGTCCTTGAGTGCTGGCTTTCTTTTTGGAGACTATATATATATATATATATATACACACAAAAAATGTCTTTCTTGGCACTCACCCTTTCATGTATATAGTACAATATTGCCTAGGTGCAATCCCATGTTGAGAAAATATATATGAAGAATGAAGAGATGCACTCTTAGGACTTAAGCAATGAAAAAATGAATAATTTATTCCAGCAGGTATAACATCAAAGTTTGCCGACGTTTCGACCCATTCGGGTGTTTCTCAAGGACCTTGAGAAAGACCCAAATGGGTCGAAACGTCGGCAAACTTTGATGTTATACCTGCTGGAATAAATTATTCATTTTTTCATTGCTTAAGTCCTAAGAGTGCATCTCTTCATTCTTCATATATATATATATATATATATATATATATATATATATATATATATATATGTATTAACACATAAAATATGTGATTTGTTATGTTATGCCACTGACACATTTAAAAGATTGGCATTGATGCAACTTTGTCTCTCAAACAAAAGTGACATTAAACATTGAACTTATTCCAGGAAGCTTGAAAACATCAAGATGTTATTCTCTTTGACCTATACAAAACTTCCCTCATAAGTTCCCTACATATTTACTCTGGTTTGACACTAAGTGATTTAATAACTTCTGCGTGGGATTGTTTAATGTTCTGTTATTAAATAAACATGCAAGTACGCAAGGAGGGTGAATGAGTTGCCTAAATTCGAATAACTTAAACTTACAGCCAGTGGGAAAAATTATAATACCTTTACAAAGTTTTGTATTTATAAATCCATTAAAAAACCCTAAACCATCAATGCTGAAAATATCCCATTTCTATGTTAAAGCAGAGCATAGCCATGTGTATTAAACTGGGGATTTACGCGAAAATTGTTATGGGCCAAACCATTTACATTTTTTCTGAAAATAAAATAGTGTTTCTAATAGACAAATTTCAGCAATATGGCTCAGCAGAATTTTGATTTAAAAAAAAAAAAAAGGCGAAGAAAATGAATCAGACAAACCATAAGGGAGTTAACATTGGTCAATCAGTGAACTGTAAAACATAATATAAATAGTATGTATGTATTTTGCAGTATTCTGGTGGGAGCATTTTCCCTTTATTTGGTTCAAAAGTCTAATGTTGTTGTTTGGCTTGCAATGGTAAGCTGATGCTCTAAGCCAAATCGATAGCTCCCTATTCATCAGGAAGGTATATACATTTCTCAAAGTTATCTATATAAATTGAGGCCTACTGGTTGGTTTAACCTCTAAAGGTAAGGAAAATGAATTAACTCCATGACACTATAATAACTTAATTTTAATTAAGATGTTATGGTGCCCTTTGCTTTACTTTAAATTGCTTCAATTTGCATAAAATCTTGCAACATAGTGATCATTGTCTTCTTTCGGGCATATATTTTAGCAAACTTTAACATGGTGTAAATAAAACCTTTTAACCATAAGCATTCTGGCTTGTTTATCAGTGATGTGTTCTTTACATGTAAATTAGCATGTACTGTAAATAATGGCCACAACACATCTTTTGTTAAATTTGCTAAAATAACCAAAAGAAAACTTTTTAAGGATGGTGCTGAGTTTTTATGGTGTTTTAGAAAGTTACAGGGTCAAAAAGAGGGCTTGTAAATTAACCCCTTAAGCACCAAACGTCTGGAATAAAAGGGAATCATGACATGTCACATATGTGTCCTTAAGGGGTTAACTAAATTAATACATATGCTTATGTTAAATATATGTATAATATATATATATATAAAAGAAAAAAAAGAAAAGAAAAAAATGCCAGGGTCTATCAACCTGCTGTGTAAAAGCATCAGAGAAACCCATTCAGCATACTTCGCTCTAGATATCCAGTAAGATCTACCTAAACTTGTTGAAAAAATAAATAAGTAATCTCTAGGGTTACTAATCCAAAGAAGAACTGCTCATCAAGATGATAGTACTAAAGTGCACTAATTATATGTCTTGAAAAATTATGTCAAAACTGTCAACTAAGCACCTAAATACATCTCACTAATACATGCCTCACGTTGTAGTAATAATTTAGAGATATTTGAGATATCTGAGATATGTGGACAACGTTTTCCTTATTTGGAATGGTACTATTGCCACACTGAATGAAATGGTTGATCATATCAACAACCTACCCACATCAGTAAATCTTACTCTAAATTGTCACCACACCTACATAAAATTTTTGGATGTCACAATTTTTAAAGAAGTTAGGCTACACGCTATTCTGCAAGGAAACTGATCGTAACACTTCTATCTGCTTCTAGCTTTCACCTTCAACATATTAAGGATTCTCTACCTACTTCACAGTTCCTCAGAGCAATACGGTGCAACAGTGATCCTAAAAACTGAGTCCAACAGCTAAATAAAAACTTGGGATAGAAACTACTAAATGGAGTCAGGATAACTCCTCAAATATGTGGGGAGTCCCTCCTCCATAAATGAGAACCTCTAAACGAATTAAGTATCCATAAATATGGTATAAGCCTTTGGTATAGATGAAAAATAAAGCAGGATGGGATGACCGCCCACAAAAATTTGTATAGGTGGTATAAACCTTTATTAAAGCCGAATATTAGGATATTAAAATATAAAGAGCCTAACTAGAACAGTAGGTTCTATGTGAAAAACCAAAACCCCAAAAATGTAACATTGTGAATAAACAGAGTGATAATACACCTTTAAAAGTCTGGGTAAAGTAGTCTGAAAGGCCACTTCAAGTAGTAAGAGGATTTTAATAGCTATTATAAGTATTCTCAAATTTGTGTAATCTAATAGTTCAGTTAACCAATACCTCCATAGTATCAAGGTACAAATAATTAGTGGCTGCAGTGTGTAGAGGTTGTAAAAAATTGAACCAAAACTAAGGAATAAACTGAATATGGTCAGAGAGACAAATCAACAATAAACAGTGATATGCACTGTATCACGTTTGAATTGATACCTAACTTCCAGTAAAACAGAGTCTGTTAGCCACCGTACACTAATGGATACATAGTTGTTCTAATTAGATAGTGTTGGTAAGTAGACTTTATACATATTTTACAAAGTATAGCTATTCTTGTCCATCCCGTATTTAGACCATATTAATCAAAGGGTTCACTATGGAGTGGACACAATGTACCCAGCTCCAAACAAAGTAGAGGCAGGGATGGTTAAAAAAAAAAAAGGCGGGGGGGGGGGGCTTGTCTAAAAACGGTGCATTTAGGGGCAGTACCGCCAAAATAGGCAGAAGTGTTAGAATCACTACACACAAGTGACTATCCAGCTTTTTGTATATTGTAGCTGTTACGTAAGCATCAAATGCTTCAAAGTACTAACTGCCAAATCGTTAAATTACAGAAGTTATAGGAGTATGTTAAATACCAATATCCGGTCACACAGTCGCTGGCTGTCACTAACCCATTGGTGATTCCAAAAACCCCTATCTCCTGATGCTACTGTAAGGCAGCCTGCTAGGTCGATACCCAAAGCCCCTATCTCCTGTAGCTGCTTCGAGACAGCCTGCCTAGTAAACCTCACTTCCATGTGAAATAAAACAACCTCTTGCAGACTTACTCTCACAGAACCTAAAATCAAATGTAGAACATTGGCACCAAAAGCAGTCGAGTGCTTTTGGTGCCGATGTTCTACATTTGATTTTAGGTTCTGTGAGAGTAAGTCTGCAAGAGGTTGTTTTATTTGACGTGGAAGTGGGGTTTACTAGGCAGGCTTTTTTGGTTTTCTATTCTATGTCTGATTTTCTTTATGCTGGGTTTTTCTGGGTTCATTCCTGTAATCCGTCCCTGGAATTCCCAGTGTACAGGTTTCCTTTAAATGTTTGTTTTATGTTGCCACACCTGCTTGTTTTCCCATTTTCCTTTTGTTTCAGCCTGCACCTGCAGCAGTGTTTCAAGTCTCTGCCCTTTCTTGCAGGTAAGTGCTATTGTGGTTTAGTATGGTTCTTTTAGCGAACATTAGGCAGTGTAGGACCTGCCGAATATGGGGTACATTGGCGTCGTGGCAGGCTTATGGAATGTATGATCATATAATGTAACTAAATCCCCATTATTTTCATATATAGTGCTTAGTTATGTCTCCTCCTGTTTTGCCTATTATATCTTGTCTTGTTTTATTTTGTAATCTCAGTTCATGTACAGTCCTGTCCTGCCCTGTTCTTGTTTTCCTAATGTCTTGTGTACATGTTCTGGATTCTGCTTTCTGTCCTGCTTTTGTTCTGGGTTCTATTAGTTCTGTCTTGTTTTCATGTTTGGTGACTGTTCTAGTCTTGCCTTGTTTCTGTACTGGATACATCCCTGCTCCAGGCCCTGATAATCCACTTCCACGCTGAAGACTCCGCTCATCTTCTCATCAGGCACTCAGGGTTCCCGGTTTCCGTACCGCCACCCGTGACAGCTGCCCCGTCACACTTCCTCTTTAGGTTTCTGCTGGATTCTTAAACCTTCAGGGGTTGTTCCATTTCTGTGATTTTCTGGTTGATCTCTCCCTTGTCTGTTTTGACGTCCTTTATTATAATGAGAATCATATCTAATGACAACTTTACTATTAAGTACTCCAGTCCAGTCTCTACACATTGAAGCTTTTGACTGACCAGTTGTAGGTATATTTAGAATTCTAAAGCCTTTAGGTATTTTCTTCACCTTATAGTAATTGGACAAAAAAATCTGTGCAGATCTAAATCAACTTTTTTTTTTTCTGGAGTCTCAGATGTTTAAAATATACATCTTTGGAGGTAAGATTGTGTGGCAGTGTTAAACCTGTCTCTTCCCTCAGTTTCGTACTGAAGTCTACCTTTGATCCCCAATCACAAAGACCGTCCAACAAGACTTTTATAACTACAACATAAAGTAAGGCTAGAAATATTATGGCTCAAAGTACCAAGAAACGTCATAACATAACTAAAGCACAGAGACGTATCATTAGGGATTTGTCAGAAGATTCATTCATAGTAATACGTTCAGCAGATAAAGGAGGGTGTATAATGATCCTGGACTATGAATACTACTCTCAAGAACTGAAACAACAATTATCCAAGAGTCATATGTATCGTCTTCTACATCAAGATCCCACTAAGGATATACAGAATAAAACTAAGGATATACTAACAATGGGACTAAACATGGGGTATATTGATGTGAAACTATATCAATACCTCACTAAAAGCCACCCCCGGACTCCAGTTATATACACAATACCCAAAGTACACAAAAACTCAGTGAACCCCCCGGGACGTCCGATAGTATCAGCTATTGGTGGTGTGCTGGAGCCCATAGCTAAGTGGTTAGACCATCTGTTCCAGTCTTTAACAGCAGAACTTCAGACGTGTATTAAAGATACACAAGCACTGATAACACAACTTACACTTAAGTGAACATCAATGATCATAACCTATACTGATCAATGTGGATGTAGCAAGCCTGTATACGGTCATACCCCATGAAGAAGGGTGTAGAAGCAATGAGGTGTCTGGTAACACACTCAACAAAATTCCATGGTCACCCTATTGGGTTCCAAATCACTGTTGAAGATTAAAAAATGCAGTATAGTATGTACTCCAAACCCACAGACCGCAACACTTTGTTGCACTATCAGAGTCCCCACCCTAGAGCTTTAAAAGATTCCCTTCCAAAAGCACAATATATGCGTGTCATCAGAAATAATTCCAATGACCTAAACAGAGAAGTCCAACTACAGGAAATGACTTCAAAGTTCTTAGAAAGAGGCTACAAGAAAGAAGTCCTACAGAAAGCACTTAAAGGAACACTATAGTCACCTAAATTACTTTAGCTAAATAAAGCAGTTTTAGTGTATAGATCATTCCCCTGCAATTTCCCTGCTCAATTCACTGTCATTTAGGAGTTAAATCACTTTGTTTCTGTTTATGCAGCCCTAGCCACACCTCCCCTAGCTATGATTGACAGAGCCTGCATGAAAAAAAAAAACTGGTTTCACTTTCAAACAGATGTAATTTACCTTAAATAATTGTATCTCAATCTCTAAATTGAACTTTAATCACATACAGGAGGCTCTTGCAGGGTCTAGCAAGTTATTAACATAGCAGGGGATAAGAAAATCTTAATTAAACAGAACTTGCAATAAAGAAAGCCTAAATAGTGCTCTCTTTACAGGAAGTGTTTATGGAAGGCTGTGCAAGTCACATGCAGGGAGGTGTGACTAGGGTTCATAAACAAAGAGATTTAACTCCTAAATGGCAGAGGATTGAGCAATGAGGCAGCAGGGGCATGTTCTATACACCAAAACTGCTTCATTAAGCTAAAGTTGTTCAGGTGACTATAGTGTCCCTTTAAAGAAGCAAGGAGAAGAAGAAGCTTTCGTTTCACGAAGAAGAGCTTTTATAGCAAAGAAGTAAGCCCATCAAGACTAGTGGTTCCCATGGAATTTCACTAAAAGAGCCCACAATAGACAATATAATATGATGGAATTGTTTTTAAAGAAAAAAACCTTTTTTGCTACGGAAGGATCAGAGACGGCCCTATGTGAAAGGTTAAGAGGACACAGGTCCAGCATCAGATTCGCCTAGAGAGATGGAAAATCAGACAAGCCCGTGGTAAAACATTTCTTACAACTGGGCCATACTTTATCAATCTTAAAATTTATAGGCATTGAACATGTGCCATTGCCAGCGAGAGGTGATGACCGGGGCAAAATGTTACTAAACCATGAGGCTTATTGGATCCATGAACTGGGCACTTTATTCCCAAAATGGACTTAATGTAACTATCCTTTTTTATTCGTTTCTGTGAACTAGGGTGAAATGACATTCATTTATGATGCATTAATCCTGCTTGCAATTTGAACTTTTGTTTTTATGATAGAAGTATACTGCCTAGTCACTGTGGGGATTATCAATAGACATATTTATATATTTTTGTTAAATCAAAGTCAGTATATACTCCATTATTTAAGCATTTTCCCTATTACAATGGGAGTAAACAAAAGGTTGCTGCAATTGCAGTAATAGCTATTATTTGGATACAGCACTAGTTGACAGGATAGTATTCTTATTATTTTTGATAGATGTTACAAATAATTGTATCTTAATTTTATTTCAATCTTAATCATAATATATGTAAGATAAGTATCAAATCAGCACTTGGCACATTAGGAGTTTTTTCCTGTACTTTTTGGCACTTTATGGTTTATATCTTAAGCATGTTACATCTGTTCAATGCATGTTTATGATTGGTACTATGAACACTAAATGCACTTGACATTAATAGCATTGTCACTTTATATATTGGTAACCGTTACTTCAAATATCGGCAATATTCACTTTAGAATAGCGATGTAATTATAGCATTTTTACAATACTTTAGCACTTTATTCATCCTTTCATTCTCTCACTTAATCTCTAAGTAAACATCAGTATATGTACTGGACTTACACAGTACTCTTAATTCACTGTTTTACAATCGACAGTTTCCATTAGACCGTCTGTTTGTATAATAACATTGCCGTGGAGACGAGCCGACCATCATCATGCCGACACTGCATTACGTCACTCGAGGTGGGTTGAGTCACCACACGCATGCGCCGAGGTCTCAGGAGAACGTCGAAGGCAACACACAACACCTGGGGTAAGCTAATATTTACCTACATTTACTTATGTTTGTAATTATGTATGTATATATTTGTCAACTGTTACTTTTATGTTTTATCCCGAGGAAAGTCCATGAGGAGGACTGAAACGTTCATCTAATTTTTAAAACAAATCCAATAAAGAATTTAAATATTTTATCACAGACTGTGAGCACAGCTAATATCTGTTGCTATCTGAATACACTTAAACCCTGGCTGGCACCCGGCAATTCATAAAATGTCATCTTGTATGCAGGGACGAAATTTTCTTTTAAAAAAGTGTGTGTGTGTGTGTGTGTATGTATGTATGTATGTATGTATGTATGTATGTATATGTGTGTGTATGTATATGTGTATACACATATATTGCAAAAAAACAAGAAAGTTATGGTGGGGAAAAAATTGTGATTGAAAACCCCTTCCATCTGAAGTCAGTCAATAGTCAATACAATGTTAAAAAAATATCTGCACACCAGTCAAGCCATAAGACTTGCTTTTCTCACAGAAGTCACAAACTTGCAGTGATGTTACTACCGCAAAGGATTCTGGGTGGGCATATGCAAATTGTTTAAACAAGAAATCACATTTTTGCCTCATTCCATTTTAAACATGGATTAATTGGAGTGTTTGCTGTATAAAACTGCTTTGAAACACAATTTAGGAAAAGATGCAAAGCCAGTGAACCACTCCTGCACAACTGTTTCATTGTTAATGTAATTCATACGAATCCAGGCAGAGCCCATTCTATTGACTATTTTTGTGTTTTTCACCTCACAAACGGAGACCGACCGGAAGGCCATAATACATGGAACTCCTTTCGGCTACTGCCCCATTGTGTGGTCGGTAAAAAGAAGACCTCCAAGAAATTCC